AGAAACACCCGCATAAATTAGCAAAGTGAGTAAGAGCAAGAAGTTGAAAAGAAAGCGCAATCTAGTGAAAGCCATTTTTACTTTTACCACTTTAAAATTTTCGTGTCATAATCATATACTTTTAAGTGAACTTTACAATATATTTCTACTTACTTTCTACATCTTGGCACACCTACAGATTCAAAAATTGAGAGTAGAATTCTATATTTCTTTCGCAATAGTAATTTTCACAAATATCGCAGAAGAGAAAGAGAGGGGGAGACGGAGCTAAACGCAACGAAAGAAAACTTGATGTGTAAGGGGAAAGCCTGCACAGGGTTATCGAGAGAATTTAGCAACGAAGGTGGAACGAGGGAAGATAGCGAAGAGAAGCGATCGTGAGCTCGCCACATTCACACACGTGATGGCTGGGTGTGTGCGCAAACGGTTCAACATCCTCATGATGGTGAACGGTTATTAAACACACCCGGGACGCTGGTGCCACAGCTTCAGGGGCTGGTGGCACCACAGCCGTTCATGAGCGTACACATCGATTGTGGAACGACTGCTGTGCAGAAAGTAAACAACTCCTGACAGAATAACACCAATGCTGGCTGCTGCGATGAGAGAGCGCTCGGAGCGAGGAGGTTCGTAAAAAGGCGTGAGATGACGAGCCAGGAGGCTAGAGAGCGCTGCAGGGCGAGGAGCGGAGACGGGGTCCGCAACGGGTTCTGAGAGACAGTGGGAAAGCGGTGGAGGGCGGGTAGAGTAGCAGATTGCACGTCGCGCCGCCTTCTGAACGATTTCGTTCACCGACGAGAGCCTGGCGAGAGAAAGAAAGTGTTCGACAGCGAAGGACTGTGAAACGACGGAGAGCAGAGGTGAAGGCTCTCGGCGAGGGGCGCCTCGTGCAAGGAGGGTGCCGACGGGGTAGACTTCTTCGTAGCTCCATCACGTCAACGACAGCGAAGCAGTGCGCGAGCATGAAGCCGTAGCATGCCGTTGACACCACGAGTCTAACTTCAGAAATGAAGAGGAGAACTTCAAAGAGAGCAAAGCCCTCATCTACATTCTATCTGCATCCATCCTCGCCAGCGGTCAGCTGTAAGCAAATCATTCACTCGGCTGCCTTTGTAAATGGTGAAGTGGGCGAGAAAAACTGGGGAGACTTTTCGCGTTTTTGGGACGATAGGAGGCATGCGGCCTCTAAGATTTTAATTCTAAATAAAATTGATTTGATTTCAATTAGAGGTTAAAGAGCATTGCACGCAGCAAAGTAAGAAGAATCGTGAGAACGTTATCTGTAAACGAGAACTGAGAAGCGCGCGTAAGGAAAGGAAAATAATGGAGAGCATTGTCCCAGAAAATCTAGGCTAGTATTTGCAACCATTCTCCAACAATAATTGTTCTTAGAATGTGGAAAAGATGATTGGTGTGGGTCTGAATGACGCTATTGGAATTGTTCATATTTGGATGCATGTACAACCAGATAGTGGAATTTCGAAAAGAATCATATTTGAACACATTTTTTACTCGGGATTATTATCTTTTGCCACCTCAACACTAAATAAAAATTGGAAAAAATCGGGTATTTGCGCCTAAGCTTCTTCCATTCCAAAAGGTCCGTATGAAATGATTAGTAAAAGGTGACGAGAGACTAAGCAATTGCGCGTCGAATACTTTAGTACTTGCTTAATTAAGAAACGATGGATTTTTTTCCGAAAGCCAGAGGACGATGAGATTTTTAAAGAGAGTAAAAACGTGAATAACAGGATACAGCCATCTAGCGAATGAAGTGCACTAGTATGAGTGGGGAGGCGAGTGGGGCGAGGGCGATGACGTGAGGCTGTGGCATCGCCAGTGGTCGTTCAATGCTCCAATGCCGTCATCACGTGGATTCACGGCCCTGAGGCACGGTGAAGAGCCATCGTCGTTCCTTGGCGACAGCGAAGAGGAAAGCATGGGCACACGACGAACTTGTTTTGCTGCATCATTCGTTACCTCCTGGCCCCCTAACCAGTATAGCGGCGTCGTCAGACACATCCCTAAACTACAGACATGAGAGCATCGAAAGACAGCAGTTTCTGCACGCTTATCCTCGTCACGACGTGGTTACTGTTTACAGCAACGTTACTCGTGGAGTAGTGTATCAATGTCAAGAGAGCAAGAACTTTGGAAAGAACTGGTTTCGCATTTGTTGGGGAGAGTTGGACAGAGAGGAAAGAAAGAGAGGAGGGCAGAATGACACATGATACACGCATTCTGTGCTGTCCGATGCAACTGTGCAACTCCGTGGCGGAAAGCGGACAGTTTCCAAAACTTGCATTTATGATTCGATTAGTAGCAAGCGGAACCGGCACGTCGCCTCCGTCCGAAACTGAACGCGAAACTCGGGCCCTGGAACTCGCGGGAGCACGACAGCGCTCGAGTAGGCGTAGTCGTCCAATGTGCTTCTCTCTGCTCTCTCGCTCCCTCCCTACATCGCTCGCCGCCGCGCTCCGAGCCGAGAGAGCGCAGATTGACGTCATCTCAAGCCATACTTTGATGCCGTCGTCGTTGCGATAGAATCCTCGGCCTATTCTTGTACACATGGGATAATGGAGTCGGTGAGATTGGAAGCAACGAGTTAGAGTGGGACGATCACCAACAACAACCAGCCCAGCTGTACGTCGCGCTCGCTCGTAAACTACACTCATGTGTGTTGACGAACAACATCTCATGTAGGAACATGAACGAGTGCTGAGAAGTGTGGAAGAAGAAATGAGGGTGGAGGAAAATGACGAAGTTCCAGGATCACCAAGCTTTTCTGCAAGCAAAAAAAAGCCCGAGAAGTTTTTTTCTAAGCTTTTTCCCCCAGATTTTTTGGAATTCAACGGAGCTACATAACAACAGGACAATCCTTTGAACAAATAATGCCTTCATTTTCTTTTAAATTGAGTCTTCTATATTTTGTCAGATTTTCTCTTCTGATTTCTAGAACTTTCTTTTCCTATATGGCTATTGAATTCTCTTTAAGCTCCGTCACATGAAATTTGTACAAAGCATAACGCATGAGATACTTATGCTGATTCCTACACAAACAAAGCAACTCAGAAAATAAGAACTATTGAGTAGCCAAAGTTCCTGAGACTCAACTAACCGACAGAGAGTAAGAAAGAAGTGAAAAAAGATAAAAACTACGGTGTTTCGACCATTCAAGAACTGGTTTGTTCACTAACTCACGAGCTAATTTCTCGTTTTTGCTAGGATAGCATGAAAGGATAATGACAGACAAAATGACGCACAAAGGCACGCAGAGATTACGTAGAAGAGAACGGTATGCAAAAAAGTAGACGAGAAGAATGAATAACAAATTTAATGCTCTCTTTCAGAGTATCTGCTCTGAAATATTTTAGTGTT